GCGTGACGCTCCGCACCGTGCCATGTCCGTCGTGGACTCTTGGCAATTTTGCGCCAAGCTTGCCCGCCAATTTATGAAGGGTTGGGGCGCGAACCTTGGACGAGATCTGCGTGAGCGCAAGAAGGCCCTCTTGGGTGCCATCCAGGCCTTGGACGCTGGCGCTGACACGTCCGGGATCTCTCCTGACGAGTGGATGCTGAGATATGATCTCGAGGACCAGTTATCGGTCATCTATTCTGACGAAGAGGCTTACTGGCGGCTGCGCGGCACCCAACGGTGGGTGCTCCGTGGTGATGCTAACACGGCTTATTTCCAGGCGATCGCCAATGGCCGGCGTCGTCGGAATTCCATCCACTCTCTATGGGCCGGCGATGCTCAGCTCACTCGCCCCTCGGACATCCGGGTGCACGTCGACGGCTTTTATAAAGCCCTGTTCTCCCCCACCCCTCGGGGTGGGGCTGCGCTGGCTCCCGACACTTGGTCAGGTGCTCAGCTCGTTTCCGCCGAGGCCAACGCGGCCTTGGTTGCCCCCTTCTCGGAGGATGAAGTCCTAGCAGCAATCAAGGGCATGAACCCCTCCTCGGCTCTGGGTCTGGATGGTTTGCCGGTCTCGTTCTTCAAAACGTTCTAGCAAACTATCAAACCAGAGGTCATGGCCCTCTTCGACGAATTCTTCACTAGGACCATGGACCTTGGGAGGCTGAACTATGGGATCATTACCCTCATCCCTAAGGTTCTGGGCACCTCCTACATTCGCCAATTCCGCCCGATCACGGTGATCAACGTGATCTTCAGGATATTGGCTAAAGGGTACGCCAATAGGGTGACCCTTCTTGCGGACTCTGTCACCCACCCCAACCAATCCGCCTTCATCCAAGGCCGGTTTATTTTGGATGGGGTGCTGGTCTTTCACGAGGTCCTTCACGAAGTCCGCTCCAAACACCACCGCACGGTCTTCCTGAAGCTAGACTTCCACAAAGCCTATGACACCACTGGCCCTTCCTTCGGGAAGTCCTGCTCCGTAAGGGATTCGACGACCGTCGGGTGACCCGCGTTATGCAGCTAGTCTCCTGCGGCCGGACTGCGGTCAACATCAACGGTGAGATCGGACCCTTCTTCCCCACCTTATGTGGGGTCCGCCAGGGTGATCCGTTTTCCCCGTTCTTATTCAACATGGTGGTTGATGCCCTTGCGGTCATTCTTGATAAGGCCAAAGCCTGTGGCCACCTTCGTGGCGTTGTGCCCCATCTTGTAGGGGAGGGAGGGGTCTCCCTCCTCCAATATGCGGATGACACCATTGTTATGGTGGAGGGCTCAGCGTCCGACGTCACCAACCTAAAGTTCCTCCTCCTTTATTTCCAATAGATGTCGGGGCTTACCATCAACTTCGATAAGAGCGAAGTGATGGTCCTTGGCTATCCTCCGGAGGAGGCGGTGTCCATTGCGGGTCGGCTTAACTGCCGCCTGGGTTCCTTCCCCACGACCTACCTAGGGATACCCATTAGTGATTCCAGACTCACCGTTGCTGACCTCCGCCCGACGGTGACCCGGATGCAGCACCGGGTTGAACCTTGGCGGGGACGTTGGTTGTCGAAGGCGACGAGGGTGATTCTCATCAACTCTTGCCTTCTCTGGTTTCTCATGAGCTTCTACAGCCCACATGAGATCCTCCATCAGGAGGTTGCTAAATACCAGTCTAGGTTCTACTGGGCGGGCGAGGGAGACAAGCAGAAGTATCATATGGTGAGCTGGCCTGACATCTGCAAACCCAAGGACCAGGGTGGCCTTGGGATCCTGTCATCCCGCCGCATGAACATTGCTCTCCTGACCCGCTGGCTGTGGATTATCGCCAATGGGGAGGGAGGCCTCTGGCTGACCATCATCCGTAATAAATACCTGAGGGGCCAACCTCTGGCCTTTTGCCAGCGTACGGGTGGCTCCCAGTTCTGGTAGTCCGTGGTCCAGCTTCTGCCCGTCCTCCGCCTCGGTACGTCCATCTCTATTGGATCCGGGGCCTCGACCCTGTTCTGGTTCGACCGCTGGCTTGGGGACTCCCCCTTGGCTGTGCGTTTCCCAGAACTATTTGCCATTGCGGCTGACCCTCAGGTCTCTATCGAGACGGCCCTTATTGACTTAGGGCGTCTCGCTTTCCGTCGCCCCTTCGGCCCTCTCGAGGTGGCTGCTTGGGACTCCCTCCTCCAAGACGTGGCCCTTATGCCGATGAACGTTGAGGAGGACCAGGATGCCATTTCTTGGCACCTGGAGCCGTCTGGCCGCTTCTCCACGAAGTCCTTGTATGCGGCCATCGCGCCTTCGACGGCCCCGGAACCGTTTAACCTGATATGGGACATTCGCCTTCCTCTGAAGATCAGGATCTTTCTATGGCAATGGATCCGCGGACGCCTCCCCTCTAGGGTCGAAGTCCTCAAGCGTAACGGCCCGGGCGATGGGATCTGTCCCATCTGTGGCACGATCGAGGATGCTAACCACATCTTCTTCTCGTGCTCTACTGCCCAATTCATGTGGGCCTGCTTCCGCGAAACAGTCGGTGGCCAGTGGTGCAATACCAACTTCCCCGACTAACTTGCGGAGTTGAACGCCTCCCCTCCCCGCTTACCGCCATATTAGATGGTTGTGCGTTGGGATCCTTGCCTAGACGCTTTGGAACATTCGCAACAAGCTTGTCATTCAGAAGGTCCCTCTTCGACGTGCGACTGACGTGATCTTCAAAATGTGTGGCTACTTGCAGCTTTGGCGGCCGCTTAGACGCCCCCAGGACCGGGACGTCATCACCAACCTCCTCGCCGATCTTCACTCGATGGCGCTCCGCGTGGCTCCCCCGCTCTCGCCCCCTCCGCCTGAGCCCGACTAGGCTGTCGGACTGCTTTGCGCTTTGCGCCTTCCGCTGTGCGTCGTGCGCTGTGTTGTGTGTGTTTAGGGCTTGTTGTGTTGTGCCCTCAGCTCGTGCCCTCGTGTCTTTTTGTATGCTTGTGAACCTCCGTGTGTGTGTGTGTGTTTGGACATGTGTGGAACCTTGTGGGATGCTTGTTGTGAGTGATTGCTTTATAATATAAAGCAGGGTGAAAGCCTTTTTCCGTAAAGGGGAGAGAAACCAAACCCACTATGGGAGGAGCAGGTCTGGGCCACCACTAACATCGGTGGAGGTGAAAGCGTGCCTCTTGACTGAACGCCGTCCATCACTTCCGATGGTCCATGTCGTGCCGGAATCAAGATACCTTACTGCAGTCATCGTAGATCACTTTCACCCCCTTCCGAGGCCACAGCCTCAGGACTTCCATCCGCCGCTCACCCGAGCAAGACCCACACCCATGACACTAAGATCTGCTGCCTGGGTAAGCACGACCACATCGGGAATGCCATTCCAGCATCCACTGCCACAAGCCCACAACAATGCCGGCTAGAAACCTACAAGCTAGACCCTTGCACAAGAGCAGGGAGACGCGATGGCTACACCATATGAGCAACCAAGAATTGCCTCCCAAGCACCTTGCCGTCGAACACCGAGGCTGCCAAGGCCGGCAAACGCCACACCGAGGGAAAAAAAGATCCTATACACTTGGTGGTATAAGTATAAGTTTCATTCGTCTGCAGTTAGTCCTCTTCCCATGTGGGTGGAGTATTTTCACACGTCCTCGGATGGCAAGTCTAAATCACCTCCATAACTAATCCATCTAAATCACCTCCATGACTTTTTGCTACATACTGATGTTGCATGCACGTTGTAAATGACAATTCTCCCTGGGCAAGTGATGTTTATTTTTGACGGAAAATATAGGTTGACTGGAACTCGAAATAGATTCTTATGGATGTTATTCCCCAACACGGATTGGTGCAGAACAGTGCCGTGAGTGGACATTAAAGCCACGTACAACCCCTGGTCGGCAATCTTCTTGACAACATATGTAAGGCTGTCCCGAACAGCAATGTAGAACGGTGACTGCATTGCTGCATTCAACATGTGCGCACAGCTTGGGTTGGCCTCCAGCAGCTTAAGTGCAACATCCGACTTTCGCTGCAGCACTGCATCGTGCAATGGGGTGTTTCCTAGTTTGTTTGCGATTGTTATAGGCCCCTGCAGACAAGAATATAGTTACTCACTACAACAAATTTGATGTTCACTGATGAACGCGAAACATAACAAAAAACTCAATTTGTTCATTCATGGCAGTTTGTGGTTGTATATTTTGGACTAGACTACACAGCAACACCACACCCATGTCTTCTGGTGCGTCGCCACCTTTTCCTCCCTCTCTACTATTCATGAATGCAACTAAAAGACACCAAAGTCATGTAAGCATGACATCAATGTGATTCTCTCATATCTTAAAAATAAATAAGTTTTATCTCTCAAACCACAACTATAAATAATGTCTGGTCTTGGTCATCATTTCATACTGTTACATATCAACTTTGTTATTTAGATTCTCAACAACAAATGTTATTAAATATTGGTTTTAAAGTCAAATTTGAGATGGTGTATAAAATATCAGAATAAGTACCTCTGCATATCGAGTCGTAAGTTCCAGGTTCATCACTTTAGCACACTTGATCAGCATATCGACAAATACAGAATTTCCAGCTTTAACTGCAAGGTGCAGCGCTGTGTCCCCATCATCATTCCTAATGATGAGGAATACATCATATATACTTGAGAAATCAGCACACTCAGGGTATTCCTTGATAAATTCTCCAGCAGCCGTCAATTTAATCTCCTTGCAACTATTTAGCAGGCTGCCTGCCACAAGGTGCCTACCATGTATCACTGCTTCATGCAGCAAGGTGTTCCCTTTCCTGCCCGGAGTTATTAGTGGTTCCTGCACACAGAAGGGAAATATCATGATTCCAATAGCTAAAATGTGATTGTCATTAGTCGGGAATGGGTTGTACTAGTTTTGGTCTCTATTATCTCAAATGGTTTTTCTGGGAACACGCATGAGAGTTGTGCGTCGTTTCATCAAGAAAGAAGAACAATTTGGTGATTACAATAGGCTGCCCTTAGGCTAGCCTAAATCCATAGCCCACCACACGCACCTATGGCACACTACTTACGCGTATCCACGTTTCCACGATTGGCCTGCATCCTTTGCCACGCAAGCTGCCATCATCCACTCGCCACCTATGCTTGTAGTTAGCCCCCTTGTCACCATCGAGACCTTATCAAAAACCCTTCGGTTCCTTTCCTTCCAGATGGAGTGCATGACACAGATGAAAAAGAAGTTCATTTCCTTCCTCACAGCCGCCGGTGCAGCGTTACTCGGCACCGTCCACCAGTCCACCAGCACATCTTGATGGGAAGGAGTATATCTCTCCCACCCCTTGGTCCACGGCACATCGAACCAAACCGTGCATGCAAGGGAGCATTGTGCGAGCAGATGATCCAAGGTGTCCAGCTCATGCAGACACATCGGACAACATGGCTGGTGCGGTAGTCCCCTTGCCGCGAGCCGGTCGGAGATCCAACACCTGTTCTTTATGACGAGCCAGGCGAAGAACTTCAGTTGCGGCGGCGCCCGAGAGCTCCTAATCTCACACGCACCGAGCATGTCCGTCAAGCCGAAGAAGAAAGCACAGTATTCAGACCTCCCCGTGTAACATCCAGGCTCGGACCAAATCCAGCGGAAGGAATCATGCACCTCCGACATGGCGAAGGACTGCCTTTGGATCTTGTTCCAAAGCCTGCAGAATAGGACAATCATGGCGATCGAGTAAGGGCCCTTAATGTGCTCGATCCATCTGTTGAGCAGAAGGCCATTCTTTAACCATGCAACATGCGCGTATGGGAAGCAGAACAGCCATGATGGCCAGCGTGATCTCTGCCGCGGGAACCCCTTCGATCCACCGGTCAACCCAGAAAACAGTCACTTTGCCATTGCCGACAGTGCAAACCATGGACGCTGCAAACATGCCAGCAACCTCAGATGCAACATGGACCTGCAGGCCTTTCCGGGTCGGTCCTCGCAAGCCAAAACCAGCGCGCCCTCAGCGCCGCATTCAGGAATTGGAGGTTGTGGATACCCAACCCTCCTAGCTCTTTTGGCCAACATACCATCTCCCAGGCCACTTTGCAATGTCCCGCCTTCGCCTCCACCCGTCCTCTCTAGAGAAAGATTCTGCAGATTTTTTCACGAGTTTGCAACACCCAGGGAGGGAGGTCCATCGATAGCATGTGATAGATCACCATTGCCGTCAAAACAGAGTGGATTAAGATGACCCTCCCTGCCTCTGTTAGTAATCTGCACTGCCATAGCTGAAGTTGGTTCGCGATCTGATCAATCAGCTGTTGTAGCTCCTCTTTCCTTAGACTCTGTGGTGATAGTGGCTGTTGAAGTATAAATGCATAGCCCACCTTTCCCAATAAGCTTGAGCTTGTGGGTGAACTGGCTGGTGCGTGCAATTCTACATGGTATCGGAGCCAAGAGGTCCTGAGTTCAAGACCCGGCTGGCGCAGTTTAAAAATAAAAAAGTGCAGCCCACTTTCGGTTGTTGAACTATAAATGCATAGCCCACCTTTCCCTATAAGCTTGAGCTTTTGGGTGAACTAGCTGTTGCGTGCAGTTCTACAGTGGCAAGCTCAAATATTTGCATGGGAAAGTAGGCCAACATGCATGTAAGATTAGGAAGAACATTGTCCACCATTTGTTGTGTTTACTTGATCAGGATGATGGAGCTCTTTTGCATGTTTACTTGTAACCCTGATGCCTCTCCAAAGATCTCAGAAACTTCTTTGATCACCACCAGCTCACGCAGGAACTGCAGGAGTCGCCAGTCACGCAGCGCACACTGCCCACCACCAGACCATCCGCCTCGGGATCCTGCAACGCGGGTGACGCCGGCCTTCAACTGGAGCCATCAGATACCAAGGAATCGCAAGGGACTGGCGACCAGTCAAGGAAATACCCCCGGCACCAACAGGCGAACCACTGGACGCCACTTGTCCAACAACCAGTTGCAAAGGAACCGCAACTAGCAGGCTAACGGCTACAGGCCCCGCATAGACACGGGAGACGATCCTGCCCCTGGAATTTGAATTCTCGCCGAAATGCACCCCTCACTAACCACACCGGCACAAACCGACGCTCACGAAGGTGATCCAGCCACTTTCGCCTGATTGCCCTCCAAGCACGGCACCGCCGCAACTCTACGGCATGGGTCCCACCGTCCCTGGCATTATCACCACGGGGAGGCCGCCTCGATGTCCGTCCACCACCGACACCCCGCGCAGGAGCCGAGGGCTGCACCGCCGCTGCATCGGCGAGGGTAGAGGTGACGGTGACACAACCAACTTCTGGACAGAGCAGACCTCAAATCTGACCGGATGACGCAGTGCGTCCACCAGCCTGTCAAGAGAGACGCCCTCCGAGAAGACGCTCAAACAATTCTACCGTGCATCCTCGGAGACGACGAACCACCACAACGCCGGGACGAGGGCAAGATCTGCCATGCATAGCGCGACGCGTTCTTGGTTACCATGGCGGAATCAATCTCTTCGATCCAGCTGCACTTCTCCACCAGCGATTCCGCGGTACGCATGCACCAGGCTTGCGTCGGCACACCGTGCAAGTCCACCTTGATCCGGAACGGAGCTCGCAAGCTTACCGCCTGCGCCTGCCACGTCCAAGGCCACAACGTGAGGGAGAAGGAAAGGCCCTGCAAGCAAACTTTAAGATCGCGGGCTAAACCATTTCGCGGCTGGCTCGCGCAAACGCTACGGCCGCTATAGCCGTATAGCCGCAACGTGAGGGAGAAGGAAAGGCCCTGCAAGCAAACTTTAAGATAGCGGGCTAAATCATTTCGTGGCTGGCTCGTGCAAACGCTACGGCCGCTATAGCGGGCGATCACGACCGCTAACCCAGTTCGCGGGAACAGTGCATGTGCATGTATATCCCACATACAAACTAGTACATGTCCACATTTTTCTCAGAAAACAGGGGATTTTGAACAGAAACAAAGGACTCAAGGTCTGTAGCAAGCATAATATCACCAGTTCAACACTTAAGAACTCTTGTACCTCCTGGGATGTGCTTGTGATGAATCAAGCAACGAATAAAGGATGCTTTTCAGAGAAAAACGAATTAAGGATGGATAGAATCGGAGGACTCCTGTACCACCACCACGATGTGCTGGGACGGGGTGTTGGAACCGTGTGAGACTGAGATCCCATTGTAGTCGCGGACGCGTCGTCGTGCAGATGCCCCTCGTCGCCGGTAACAGCTAGCCAGCCAACGGCACCTGGGAAGAACTGCGCAGCCGCCACAACTTTTTCTATCGGGGGGAGAGAAGGGAATGGGGGAGACGATGCTAGGTTTCCTGAGAAGCTATTATATTGTATAATGGCGGAATTTGGGCCGATCTCTATTTAGCAAATTTGGGCCTCTGTTTCAGTCATTCGGCCCGTCCCAGCGAAAGAGCAGTGAAAGCAAAGGCAAATCGCTCTGTTTTCGCGCGCGATCACCTGGTTAGCGCCAGATCGCGTTTTTTGAAGGATTGCGTCGCGGGGAGGCTTTCAGCCAGCGATCGCGCAACTTTCGCCCGCAATTTAAAAGTATGCCTGCAAGACGCCAACCCACACCACCATATCCCTCACCTCCTGAGAAAGACAGAGGATGAGGAAGTCCTCTAGTTCAAAAGCTTGAATGGAGAAGTCCATCGGTCCCAGCCCGCAGCGGGCATGAGGGCATGGATGGCCGCCGTCGTGTCAGCAATATCGATCTCTGGGCGGTTCCCAGTAATCACCACCATCGCGCACTGAAGCTCTGCCTCCATTGTCACCATGGCCACGTCAAGGGTAACGAAGCAAGATCCAACCTTTCCACAGGCGTGCGCACCGCAACCGAGTCCACCAAGCGCACCGAAACCCTGCTGGTCGAACGACACTGCGAAGTAAGAGGATCCCACGCGAACTGTCAGCACCACACCACCAGCCACATCGCTCCAAGACTGGTCACAGCGCCCACCGCCGCCACCGGCGCCGCCGGCAAACCACGTGCTTGCAGCGCCGCACCACCGGCCACGCTCTCGACCACCAGCAGACTCTTGGACCTGCGACGCCACCCCAGGCTACACCTGAACGCACAACGCAGGCGTCGGGTGTGACATAGCCTCCGGTGATGATGGGCTATGAGGTAGCGGACAACCTACCGAGAAATGACCCACCCCGCCGCAGCGCACACATATGGTGTCGTTGGTGCATGCTCGAGAGATGTGATCCAGTTTGCCACAGTTGTAGCGGCACCCGTACAGGACAGCCGGAATGCACGATGGTATAACAAGGGAGAGCAAAGCGCAAGATGGTATAACAATGTGTTGACAATCCTTCCTGATAAATGCAAAGCCGTCCGATACCCAGCATGCATGCTCGTCCTAAATTCTCCTGACTTCTCAACTACACTGGTATAAAAAGACAAGCTGGATGGAGTACTTTTGAACTAAGTCACCCAAAATATTCAATCTAATTTAGTAATTCTTCATCCGATGGTTGTGCAAAATATCAAAGCCGTCCCATACCCGGCATCCAGTTTAGTATTTCATTATTAATTACCCTTGAGAAGTGTTTGTTATCTGAAACTTTCAATAAACATTTTACATTTTTCTATTTAATTTATGTTGGTCATGACGTGCAAAGGTGTTGGAATTGAATCACTCAACTCCCCCCTCTTTCTCCCCCTGTTGGAACTGAATCACTCAGCTCCCTCCCTCCCAAATGATGGCATACATGGCTGTTTATAGGCTTTCCCAAACCGATCTAAGCATGATGAGTTGTATACTCTACACAACTCATGCCTAGCGAGCTTCCTTGCACACTAAACACATGACTAGATTTGTACAACCAATGCAAACTCCAATTTGCTTCTACTATTACTTACTACAACACTTCCTTACTAAGATAACTAGCAGTCAAATTTCCTTTACATTTTGATTGCTCTTACTGCCATGCAGCTATGATGTACTCCCTCCGTTCCTAAATATAAGTATTTTTAGACATTTTAAATAGACTACAACATATGGATGTATGTAGACATATTTTAGGGTATAGTTCACTCATTTTGCTTCGTATGTAGTCACTTATTGGAATTTCTAAAAAGACATATATTTAGGAACGGAGGGAGTAGCTGGACTACAAGCTTTAGGCAAGCTAGCACAGCTACTCTGCTCTGACATGCATGCATATGTTTAAGATAATGACAAAATTAATTCTAAGTTTCTAACAAAAGGTTGCTAGTAAGCTACTATTTCTATCACTAAGTTATCATTGGCATTGCCAGCCCTGCAACTGCATAATAATATATTAACAACAAACCATATTGGATACGCAAGTGAAAGAAAATATTAGTAACTAAAAGCTCTACCACTGAAATTAAAATAGGGTTGGTCAGATGAAAACCTTTAACTTTAAGTTGGGCTCGATTTCCCTAGCCCATGCCAAATAGCGCATCAAATGATGTACCACTTCCAAATGGCCTGCTCTCACGGCCAGGTGCAATGGTGTATCCCCATCACTGTTCTTACTAGTAATGAACCCCACATTCCGGTTCGTATAGAGAAGCACATGATGAACGAACCAATCATCTCCTTTTGATGCTGCGAGGTGGAGGGACGTGTGTCCTCTTATGGGTGTCACCGAATAAACCCTTTCCGGGTAGTAAGCAAGGAAATTTACCAGGCTTAGCATGTCTCCTTTGTCAATTGCATCACTCAAATCTCGGGTCATGGGCTCTATCAGAATCTGCTAGGGAGAAGACAACTTTAGTGATTAATCTGATCGTTCATTTTAATTGAGATAGGATACAAACCAAAGTGTAACGACAACAAATAATATTAAAACTACATAAGAGCACAGGAACCTTTTGGATATATAATCAAGATGAAAAGAACCATACCAGTAAGGATGTCTGAAGCATTTATGAACCATTATGTACAACAGATAGTTAAATGGTTTTGCATGGCATCACTATCAGACAACCAAGCGGGCCCAAATTATTTGGTTTAATCAGCAGGGATTCTTTAATTCACCTGATCGTCCCATGGAGTATGCCCTTCATTGTTAATCATGTATGAGTTGATTCTCAGATCATTGAGTAATAACCACAGTATTGGCCCTTGGTGGAGCTTGGCAGCATGATGCAGCGGAGTGTTGCCATCATTATCATGTTTGTTCAAGATCTCCTCCGGCAGCTCATACTCAAGAAGCAACTTGAGCACTCTTAACTTGTTGTTGATGATGGAGATGTGGAAAGCATTTCTCCCACATAAATCCACCATCTCAACAGTATTAGGGCACTGCTTCATGAGCTCCCTGGCAGCCTCTACTGAGCCATACTTAGCAGCCATGTGTAGAGTGGTATGCTGCTCAATGTTCTTCCTATATGCTAGAGTGGAGTTTTTGTTGTGCAACATGGATATCATATGTACTCTGTTGTGCCACGCAGCATAGTGCAGGGCATTGTTCCCTGATGAATCTGTCACCTCCACCAGCTTCACAATATTGTCCAGTAAGATATCCAGCGCCCCTGATTAGAAACATGTCATTAATTAAGTAGATAGTATATGATGAACGCAGATTATCATTATCATTATATTAAACTGTTTCTGATAATAAACATGCAAACTTTTTTTACCAAAGCTACAACTAGGTAAATGTGGTATAGAGAGGTGTAAACTCCTACAATTAAAGCGCGGTCCTTGGGAGAACAATACTCGTTTCTTTATCTAGCATTCCATCATCTTTGATTAGAAAAGTTGGATAATAGGAGAACATCACACGGTAACACTTCATTCAAAAAATAGAACTTTTTCGGGAACAGAATAAAATAATTATGAATAACTGGAACAGCTAGTAATGGCGATTCAGAGGTCCCGATTGGGCAATTACTGCTGAACTAGCCAGAAAATGCATAACTAAGACGAAATAAGATGTCAAGTTTATGAATAAAGTAACTCCAAAGTGTTATCACATCACAGATGCAACC